AACTGTGTATGATTCCATCCAGCAGGAAGAATTGCAGTTTTAAAGAAACCCTGAACCTCGTCAATAATTTTCGGACCCACAATATGCCAATATTTTTTGTAGAAAAATCCAGTCAAACCATCCTCTCCAGGGGCACTACTACCCTTAATTGCAAAGGCTGCTTTTTTTATTTCCTCATGAGTCACCTCCTTTGTTAAAGCTATATTCGTCTCCTCAGAAACCCTGCTATCAAAGCCTTCAAATAAGGTTTCCAAATCATTTGGATTTGAACTTGTAAATAAATCTCTATAATATTCTGTAGCAATATGGCCTTTAGACCCTTCAGAGTAATTTTCATTACCGAAAATATCCTTTAGCATTAGGATTTTATTCCTTATTTTTCTCCCTTTAACTACATTATGAAAATATGTTGTATTTCTATCTCCTTCACGTAACCATTCCTCTCTACTTTTTTGCCTCCAAAATATTTCCTCCTCCCTATAAGCCGCAGCCAAATCTTGTCTTATTCTCCTCAGTAAGCCAAAAATGGGAAATTGTTTTGAGCTTTCTCTATCCAAATCAACTTGTAACCTCTCAATTCTCGTTTTTGAATTCCAATCATTGGTTTTTTTTAATTTGGACAGCTCCGACCGACACCGAGCAATACGATCAAGAAGGCTTAGATTTGAATTAACATTTTCTGCGTCCCATCCACGAGCAATAGCTTCCTCTACCCCTCTCTTACCATACATACGCTTGTCAAAATAAAAGCGTCCTCTATGTAAATTCTCAGGTTCAAGGACAAATTCTAAACGCAAAGGTCGATGATCAGAAGGCCACATACTCATATAATCTGTAGATGATCGAGGAAAAAGGCGAAACCATTCATCATTCCCAAAACTTCTATCAAGTTGACATTGTACCCAATGATGATCCCGCATACCTGCCCACGATAGGGTATTTCCCGTGGTCCTTAGTTCCCTAATTTTACAAGCTTCTGCCATGTTCCGAAAATCAAAAAACGTTGATTCCTCTCGGACTGCCCCGCCCAATTTTTCGCCGTTATGCATTAACTCATTAAAATCTCCAATCAAGCACCATGCCTCATCTCTAAGCACACCTATGTCCATTAACTTATCCCAGACATACCGTCTTCTCCCTCTAATCGGGTCTCCATAAACACAGGAGAGGAAAAAGACAATAGAACCCATTTGAATTTTGAGATCAATAATTCTATTATCACTATAGATGATTTCAACCGCATAACTGCTTTTCCATAATAAGGCTAAACCACCACTGCGGCCAATGGGGTCAACCGTATGGAGGCAGTCATACCCCAGACTAACTTTCAAGGCCTCCATATAAGACGTCTTTTGCTTAGTCTCCATTAAAAATAAAAAATCCGGAAAATATTGTCGACGTAAATCACGAATTCTTTGAACAGTATCCGAATTACCAGCTCCGCGACAGTTCCAACTTAAAATACTCATGATTACGGTTTATTAAAAATAAATATATTAAATATGCCGACTAACCAAATCATATTCCTATTGCCATTAAACCATAGAAACCCATCTCGATCAATTATACGTAAATTTGCCATCCTTGAATAATTTAGTAACCTCGGCCACAAAATTAAATATTTCCATATGTCTAAATTAAAGATAAAAACCATATCTTGAGGGGCCAATATAGGAAGAAGGATAACCCCATCAAATACTCTAGTTTCCCATATAATCATAACAGACCCATGAAAATTGGCCAATACATTTTGATAACTTCTCGTTGCTATACGTATCAAAACCATTACACTTAGTTTCGAACAATAATATTGACATAACAGATGCGCTAACCTACAAAAATTTTCCGAGTTAAAGTCTTGAAAGCCTTCATATAACCTCATATTTCCACAATCTTTCAGAATCATAACCCCTCCACACTTATATAAATCCAGCAGAGTTCTCCTCCAATCTAACACAACCAGACAAAACCCTGCAATCAAATGAATATGAACATTCGACATAAACCCCTGAAGCCATGGAAACTTCATCGCCTTTAATAGACAACCACACCAGTCCCCTAATAAAAGATTTTTATAATTCTTCTGTGATGAAAACCCAACCAAAAATATCAACATAAGACCCTTAAACCCTGAGTCAAAATCATTATACCACACGGCCCTTATCATTTTCTTTAACTTGTCACCAGCAACCAAACTAAAACGGGTATCAACCTCGTACATATGTTTCCCACATTGACCTTTATCACAAATCTGACCATCCCTTAAAGTATTTAACTTACAAGAAGAAATGAAAACTCGTGACCGAAACCTTTTATATCCCGACCAAAACCTTTCATATCCAGACCAAAATAGCAGTAGTAAGTACCCACCATCATCACCACGATGATAAATAACGATCAAAAACAGAGTATTACCTGCTTTTACCATGCTGAAGCCACCTGGAGACCACGATACCTCATTAAATTTCAAGATACTTCTATTGGATATAACATTCCTTTCACTCGCCACTATGTCCTGAAACCTTTGCAACACCAAAGAAACCATACCATAGACCTTATCAACATACATTAATGTACTCAGTGTAAGCAAACCTTCTAGAAAATTAAATGAAACCGCATTCAAAAACTCTATCACACTTATAGTCGCTCTCAGATAAATCAACACATTACAACAGCGCTTACAGAGCCAATATACCAAAATAACCGTGAAGCATCCCTCATATAAATAAACTACTAACCCACTCCAGCATAACCCAAACCGACAAATCATATTAACCCAAGCTATATTCAAAACAGCTAACCAACAGAAAAATTGATAACCATAAGAAAAGGGAAAACCATAGAGATACGATAAAACAATCGTTTTATTTATCCCATTAAAAGGGAGCATAACAGCAAGCTGAAAATTGCCAGCCATAACCATAATCATAATATTGAAACCAGAAGCACCAGTTCTCAGAACAAAACCACTCCTCCTTGCATTTAAGATATACCAAGCAATCCATTTTTTTCCTTGGATCTTCACTGCAGCTATGAGTGATGATCCCTGGCCATCAAAGAGACTGTCACAAAAGGAATAAAAAACCATAAAGAAATAAAGAAACCTAATACCATTTTGATTCACTTTGTTTGTTATTTGAAACCCTTTTCCTGTTAGAATAAGGAACCATAATATATCATCATAATACTCCACAGCTTTCCTGTCCCATACAACTTCAAAAACAAACAACCAAAGTGAGTTTTTACTAATTGTGAAAAATCTAAAATAAAAGATGACGCCGCAGCCAACACACTGAAATCTTAATACATCAAAGTACTCCCAAGACATCAGTAATTTTGAAAACCTTAATCCATAATAGTAACAGCTAGTTGGAAAATATCCTAATCTCAATAAGCAAACCATATAAAACCTGAACAAGGCAATCGTAATAACTATAAAAGGCCAAACCACAGCCATCACACTAGTTCTTAGGAAACACAAACCCTTAAAGCACCAAAGGGAACAACCCACAATCATAAACACACCAAAGCCCTCAAAACTATAAAGAGGGGATTTCATAGAATCATCAGGCATTATTGAAAATAAAAATGCTAATAAACATAACATCAGTACCACGCTAAACTCCTGTCGATAAGAATTGAATGACCAAAATCCAAACAAGCCAAACCATCGCATCAAAAAGAGAGTAGCCATAAGACACATGAAAAGCCAAACACAACTACTTTCAAACCTATAACATAAAAGAACCCAAATCCCATTAGTGATATTAAAAATTACAGAAACTTCCCATTCTCCCATTAAAAGAACAAATTTTGTTCGAACATTGGTAATAATGAGACCTCTAAAGATCTGTACTTTGGACCTGGTGGAGATCAAGATCAAGATCCACTTCACCTTGAATGTATCTTCCTTTTGATTCCTAGGAATCCCACTTCCATTGTCCACGCATAGCCATTGAAGATCAGAAACGAGACTTTGATTCGTGTCTCCGATGAAGTCACCCTGAAACTTACCCTCATCAAACTCCTGCTCTTTTGAGATCCGATTTGCAGTAACTATGGATCCCCTTTGATTCCCAAATATCTCCCATCCCGTGACCAAAACAAACAGCCGAAGATTAAGACAACTTTTTCGGGTTGTAGCCCTTCCGTTATCACCACGATTTCGTTTCCCTCTATTCCAAATCTCGTTCCCAATTCCAGGATCCCATCCCCTAGACACCATTGTTTCCCTAGATCGAGTTCCTCGCCGTAATCGCCATCCCAATCTAGTAGTCCTTTTTTTTTTTTTT